CGGACCCTGTGTCATCTTCATTTTGTTTCGCCGCGTTCCACGTGCGCATCCTCACGTTTTATTCAGTCTACTTTGGTTGGCCTTCGCCTGCGGTTTATTTGCGTTGTGTTCATCTGTTTTGTTTTTCTTGTGCGTTGTTTGCTGCCTCTACGCAGGTGCACACCGTACTATCTGTCCTTTCTACGCTGCTCTCGCGAAAACATGAGTTCCAGGCGGACGCCTTTGCTTGCGAACTCAACTATGGAAAACAACTAAAGGAAGCTCTTTGTACAATTCACACCGAAAATAAGGCAACTCTTGACCCGGATCCATGGTGAGTCACGAACAACAGCCGAGGCAGCAAAACGAGCAGAAGCCGACGCAGTTCAGAACCCTTCTCTACCCATATTATTTCTATGCCCTTGTCTTCTTCCTTGTTTTTCTCGGAAGCGTGCAGTATACGCATGCGGTGTAGGGGGAGGGGAAGAGGTTTGAGCAGTAGGCAGCGCTGTTGTGGGCGTGTTGGTTAACAGGTACTCGTGGTGGCACTACAGCCACCCGCCACTGCTGGAACGTCTTTCTGCCATCGATGCCATACTTACGAGCGAGGGAAAGAAAGACAGACACGACAACAGCAGCAACAAGCAACCAACGGAGACTGAAAGCAGCACGGCAGAGGTTCACGATACGTCTGTTACAGCAAGGGGAAGAAGCAACAAGACAGAGGCGGGGGCCAGTTCTGACCTGTAGAGATTGCAAGATCCGCCATAGTCCCAAGCAGCTCGTGGTACGGAGCTTTTTAACCCGACTTTGTACAGGATATGCTCATCGCGGAAGGCCGTTGGACCCTAATGACGACAGGATACTGCATAAATCGAGATATATGTATGCACATCTAGTCGTAAGCAGATTCCACTAAACAGGCTCAGGTCTCCGCTTGCTGCTCGATCTTTGGGCTGGCATGCATTAAAGGTTGATTCTTCGTGCAAACAGAGCGCATTACTTGCTTTGAACCCCTTAGAGCAATAACTGCAAGAACTGCTCGAACGCGATCTTCGTTCTTTGCAAGTACTACGAGCACAAGTAGCAGCTGTTGAACGTATGGGTTACGATGCATTAAAATGCGTAGATACCAGACAGATTGAATCAGCTCATGCCTTCGAGTCAAATCCGTNGGTTACGATGCATTAAAATGCGTAGATACCAGACAGATTGAATCAGCTCATGCCTTCGAGTCAAATCCGTCTACTGGTTAGCTCCAGGTTGCTAGCATCTACCCATGCACATCATTTTTGTTGAAGGCCCTTCCATGAAGGCTTCTCATTGAGATGGCTATACGCGAGCGCCAACCACTTAGTTGGAAAAAAATCCTTTTTTCCAATGCACGTACTGCTATATTATAAGTGGCATTTTGGACCTTCGGCAGGGAACGGAGAACAGGGGTTTGTGACAGCACACTTTCCCCACATCACCTGTCGGAAGATGACCCGCATATACATACTGTTGTTCTGCAGCCTCTGCTCACTTTGAATTCCCAACACACATATAAATGCAAATATGCACCGGGATGACAACGAGCCACTGAGCATAATCTGCTGAGTGCTTGCCGTGCTTGTCGGGCGTGAAGTACGGGACCGAAGCAAGAGCCAGGCACCCCAGAAGTATTTTAGGTGTACTCAGCCACCGCCAATGAGGCGTAGGTGTTGAAGCGTGCTTCTAACTGTGATTCAAGGAGATTACAAAATGAAAAAAACAGCAGAGGAGCGACGGACGGGCAAGCTGTAGCCGAATAACAAATGAAGACGCGGCAAAATACCGGTGCCATCGATAGGATATCTTCTAGAGAGTGCGCATCAGATATTAGCCCTCTACGGGACGATGCCGTTTAACCAATGAAAGTTACTCTACGCATAGCAGATTGAATGCCCACGGAGAATTGTTCTAACGGTTAGGTGATGCTGGCTCATCGCATCCTGCACAGAGGATCAGGAGGAGAATGCATTCGTCCAATTTGAAAATTTAGTGTACCTTCGACTGTAGCCTGTATGCTGTGCTTGGCTTTGGCTTGCTTGTTTGCACGTTTACATGCATTCGCACCGAAGTAAACCTGGTGCGGAAGACCAGTAGAACCTTCCCAACACTTTTCCCAACCTGTAGGGCTACTGCCTGGCAAGACAGTTGCATGCAATGAAAGAACTGAATGGCGTCTACAGGCATTGGGAGCCTGGCGAGCACATATCCAACGAAAAGCGAAGAAAATCGTTTCAGTGGAGGAGAGAGTGAGCAAATTAGGTTTCTAAACTGTCGAACTGAGTGAAAGCTTAACGGGAGGAAAACATGTTAAGGCACAGGATGGAAAAAGTGTAGAAGGATGCCTCATGACCTAAGTTGAATTGCTGCACGCACGGCAGCTTAACTCGAGCGCTGCTCCGCAGTAGCAGCGGCAGGCCCGGAGGCAAACGCAGTTGCACATGGGCCGATAGAGCTCTCTGGTACAGCAACATGCACCAGTCTTTCTCTCGCAGCCCCTGCAAGAGAGCCCCGTGGCAAGTAGAGACACTTGTCGTCTAGCAAACGGCAACACTCAGCCGCTGCAGCATTAAAGGAAGGACCCAGGGACAAGAAGAGCTGCATTCACAATGGAAAAGGGACAAAAAAACTGTAACACCGGGTTACTTCACTGCATGAGTTCACCGCTAGCACGGAGCCCATGAGCGTCTAGCACTGCCATCGAACAAGCCATCATGCTTTGATGCTGGTGCTCCTACTGTTGCTCATGCTACTGCTGCTGCTTTTTCTACTGCTGCTGTTTATTCTACTGTTGCTGTCTCCTTTTACTGGCGGCGGTACGTGTTCTGGTGCTGCCTGTATATNCTGCTGTTTATTCTACTGTTGCTGTCTCCTTTTACTGGCGGCGGTACGTGTTCTGGTGCTGCCTGTATATGGGCTGGTGGCTTTGGGGCTATCGGTGGTTGCGGGGGCTAGCTCACCTCTAAACGAATGCGGATGTTGGGCACGGCCTCTTGCAACAACCTGAGGAGGTTCTTTTCGGTTGCTGCCTTCAGGGCCTCCCAGGCCTGCTGCGACTTGCTGCGCGCTGCTGCAGATGCCCCTATGGGATTCAGCAAATAGGCGTCGGCGTCAATAGAGTAGTCAACTGTATACACCGCACTATCGTGCTCTGTTATCCCTGGGATACTGAACGGTCGCTGCGCGCTGGTGCTGCTGGTGCCCTGCTGCAGCCCTTCGTTATCGCTGCTGCTGCAATCAAACTCCCTAAGATGCAGGGACACCAGGGCCTCTAGTGCAGCTTTGCTGAGGCCTTCGCCCCACATTCCCTGCGGCAGCCGCGGCCGCTGTTGCTGCTGTCTGGGGCCCTGGG